ATATATATATATATATATATCTATATATCTATATATATATATATATATATATATATATATATATATATATATATATATATATATATATATATATATATATATATATATATATATATATATATATATATATATATATATATATATATATATATATATATATATATATATAGTTTTAATAATTAATATATTTTGTATGGACAATGAATATAATAGTTCAAATTTGTGGTACTTTTCGAGTGTGTCAAAAATATTTTGAATGATTCCGTCAAAGATGATATAATTTATGATAAAAGTGTTTATGTTATAATTTTAGTTTAAAAATATTTTATATTAGATATGTTAATAATCTTTATATTCAAAAGTAACTAACTCTTGGATAACTCTAGGGCAACCCAAGTGCAACTTTATAGTTATTTTTTGTTTATTTGTTTTCTATTATTTTTTTAATTATTTTCTTTTTCTTTCTTATCTCTTATTCACACGAAATTTTATTTCTTATCTGAATGGAAGGGTCTTTCATATTTTTTTATTCCACTTTCTGTGAATTAAATAATTATGATCATCTTGCTTTAAAATGTAGAGCTCAAATGGTATAAAATGGGTACAAATGTGATAATATTCCATGTAATCAAGAAAATTCCACGAAATTTGAAACCGCAAGAATAGACGTGTAAGAAGATTTATAGTTGAGGGATAGTTGTAATTACCCAAACAGGAGTGGTTTTTTTCATAATTTGACCATACCTCAGGGGGTTGGTTGTAATTTATCCTTAAAATTAATATATATTTTACTTGTAGTGTTTGAAAATGGATCAAATCTTTATATATAAAAGAAGGGGTTTTTGTGCCCCCAAATCAAGTATCTTTATTATTCTAGGTTTAGGGGCTATATCTCTTTCACCAATAAGCCCATCCCTTTAATATATATAATAAATAAAGGAAACATTCATGGTTATGACAATATTACCCCCAACCCTTTATACCCAATTCTTAATTGTAACCCCAATTTAATCAATATTGTTCACAAAAATTCAATTTTGACCAAAAAAATTCATTTTTCTTTCACAAACTTTTTTTTTTCAAAAAAAAAATTTCAGAATTTTTTTTTTGCTGACGAATTTCGGCGTTGACTTTTCGACTTTTTTTTTTCTGGTCTATTTTTTTCCGCCGTCGGATTCCGGCGTTGACTTTTTTTAGTGTTTTTTTTTTGCGTCCACCGCTGAACGTTGACTGTAATTGTGATGTCACTGACAGTAAATTAACGTAATTATACTGTCAATGACAATTAATTAACGTAATTGTACTGCCGTTGACAATACATTTATGTATTGTTCTGCCGTTGACAGTAAATTAACGTAATATTATTATTTTTTATTTTATGTTATTTTTTTTTATTTTGTTTGATTTGTTGACAAGTCAACGTATTTATATTACTGTCTTTGACGGTAAAATAACTGTAAACACAATAATATTACTGTCAACAACATCAATATTATTATTTTTTGGGGTTTTTTTGTTTTGTTTGAGCTATTCACGGAGTAACGTAATAATATTACTGTCTATTATTGTAATATAACTGTAAACACAATAATATTACTGTGGTTGAAGGTAATATTACAGTAATATTGTTGTCAACCACATCAATATTATTATCTTGTTTTGATTTTTTTGTTTGTTTGAGTTATTCACGGAGTAACATAATAATATTACTGTCTATTTTTGTAATATTACTGTGGTTGACGGTAATATTACTGTTGCTATAGTAATATTACTGTCACTCACAGTAATATTAATTCTTTTTTGCTTTTTATTACGCTTACATTTGTTGAACGATCAACATAGTAATATTACTCTATTACACAATATTAATGAGTTTTGTTGTGTTAATATTACTGTGCTAGAGATTAATACAACAATATTGATGTATTAAACTGTAGTTTAGTTAATTTTACTGTGTTTAACAGTAATATAGTTAATATGACTATCAATCACAGCAATATTGTTGTTTAAACGAAAAAAAATGTTACAAAAAGAAAAACAAAAAAAAAAGTCAACGCCGGAACCTGCAAAAAAATCCGGAAGAAAAAAAAATGAAAAGTCAATGCCAGAATCCGTCGGCAAAAAAAAGTTTTGGGTCAAAATTTAATAATTTGTGAATTTTGGGGTCAAATTGAGGTTAAATTAAATTAAGGATGAAATTGGAGCATATTAAAGTATGAGGGGCGATTTTAGTCTTTTACAAAAATTTGGACCATTTGTGTACTTATTTGTAAATGAGTTTTTTGTCTTGATCTCTTTATGAATAAGTACCCATTGATGAGCTTATTTATAATCACCCCATAAAAGAAAGGTTTGCCCCAAAGCCCGAAATCATTTTTTTTTAATATTTTTGTCAAATATTTGTTTCCTTTATTTTCTCATTTTTTAGAGCACATAAAGAAATAAAAAAGTCACAAATATTAAAATAAAGTCAACGCCAACTGGTAGCTAATAGACGGTCAACGGCAGCAACGGAGAAAATTAGAGTCAAAATTGGGCTAGGGGTCAAAATGAATAATTGGTGAAATTAGAGTCAAATTATGGTTAAATAGATGAAATTAGAGTATATTAAAATGTGAGGCAGTATTAAAGTTTTGTACAAACTTCTAGACTTTTTCTAAATTTTTTTGTAAAAGAGATTTAGAGGTTGACCTAAAAAAAAAAAAAAAATTCCAAAGTTGAAATTGGAAAATCTTAAAATTGTAACGTGCATGTTTGGAAAATTTGTTTGAACTATGACCGGATAATTCAGACCCGTAAATCAAACCGGGTGGTTCATAACCCGACCCGATCATTTCATACACAAAAAAGGAACAACTGAGCACCCACGCGTCAGATGGATTCGCCTGCGTGTATAGTACGTACCTCATTAATAATGTCTGATCCTTGGCCTTACACATTATTATTTAACTGGAAAATTTATCTCATTGTTCTCATTATTACATTCCAAAAGCATAAGAAAGAGCGGTTTCACTTTTGTATGCGAAGGCTAAATTAGACGGTAAGCTTTCTTTTTAATCTTTTTTACATCTCATTTATCGTTTCTTGTTGACAGTTTTTTCTTTGATTTGTCTTGGGTCATTATTCATGTGTTCAAGTTGTACATTTGATTTTTTTTAAGGAAGATGTTCATTTTTGTTTCTGGTTTGTAAGAAAATCACCCAAGTATTTCCCCCTTTTTCAAGGGTTTTTCAGGTTTTTCTTTGATTTTTAGACTTTTATTTTTTCTTTTCAATTTTCAAGAAATTATTAAATTCATTTTTAGGTGTTTTTCATGAGAGTTTAAGGTAAATTTGATGTTTAATTGAGGTCCGAGACCACCGATATGGTACCGCCCAACCAGCGTAGGGTTTCCGTGATGATAAATGTTCGATTGAAACATATATAGAGATACACTATAAATCGTATATATGATAGAACTAGATTTGTTTTTATTATTATTTTTTTTTACATTTACAATCTAGGGGAATTTAAATTTGGAATGCATTATATATATGTGATCATGGTTCGTTGGAATTCCGTTATAGTTGCTGGAATGAAAATTTCTGATCTTAAATGTTTTAGATCGAAAATGTGTGTGAGTGTGTATTTTTTGTGGTGGCGAAAATGGCAAATAGTTGTGCGGCGGATACTTTTATGTTTCGAAGCGGCGGATACTTTTAATTAGTTTTCGAAGCGGCGAGTTTTCGAGAATGAAAACCTATTAGGGTTGCGATTTTGCAAATTAGTCCCATAAGTTTAGGATTTCTTATTAAAATAAAGAGATATTTTTTGAATTTGTCTTTTTGACCCTAAATTTATATTTTATGCATTTCCAGACCCTTTTTGCCCTTTTTAAAGAGATTGTTGGAATACGATTTTTTGGAGTTGTAATACTTACTTTGTTTTCTTTTTAATTGTCTGTTTAGCCCTAAAACATTTTTCCATATTACGTGTCGCCTTAGACTTTCAAAGCTGAGTCATTTTCATTTTACATATTTTGTCCTTTATCATTTATGAGGATTTATGTGGAGAAAAAAAGATCATTTCTTAATATGTGTAAATGGTAGTTTTGGGATTTTCTATTAGAATGAATGTCTTTTATTATGATTATTGCATATACATTAAACGACATTTAAAAAAATTAAACGGCTGGCTAAATATTTTGAATATTTTTCTACTCTAATTTCAAAATTAGTTACTTACTGTAAAAAAAATATAACACTTAGTATTTTTTTTTTAAATCGCCGTTCTCTTTTCGTCTTATATGATAGCTTTCATTTTTCGTTTTTTTGTATAGAGATGAAGTAAATAACATATCTACCTACTCGGTAATGATGTTGCCATAATACTCTTTTGCCATTAAAATTAGTTATATAATTAAGTTCTCGTTTGGTTGGAGAGATTATCTATGATTCACTAAATATTAACTAAATAATTTTCAGAGTAGCTAAATCCATAAATATTATTTTATCATAGCTTATCTTGTCCTCATGGTCAAATAATAATATTGATGTGTTTTTATTAGTGTACTTAATGTTGTCCTGAAATTCGAATATATATTTATGTAATGATTTTGACTAGTGTTCTTGTATTATATTAACAGGCATATCTGAGCTACATACACACAATCCAATTTCCCTGTCCAAAATGAAGAGGAACGATTTATTCCCTGACACAAGAACAACTTATAAGGTCAAGACAGAGCTCAATCAAACAAATAGATCATCCGAAAACAACGTAGGGATCGAATCATCTTCCATCTCAAACCGACGTGATAATAATAATCATCAACAAAATTCCACCACAGAAGTTGATCCATCGATAAAGAAAACCAAAGAGGATATTGCAAGATTCTTCTTCGAAAACGGGCTCGATTTCAATTCAGTAAGTTCCCCAAGTTTCCATAACATGATGGGTCCCAGAAAGTGCCACATCCCCACTCTCGAGGAGCTAAAAGGGCCGTTATTTCAAGATGCATTAAAAGAAGTGACTAAATATATCGACGAGGCTAGAAATTCGTGGGCGCACACAGGTTGCACTATCTTGCTCGATGAATGGAAGGGTGAAACGGGAAGGGATTTCGTCAATGTTTTAGTTGACTCCCCGAGAGGAACCATTTATCTCAGCACATACGATATTTCCGATTATATTGGAAAAATTGACAAAATGAAAATGCTATTCGACAAAGTGTTGAGTGAAGTTGGGGTTGAGAATGTGGTTCAAGTTATTACATCCTCGAATTCTATTTTTACCAAGGAAGTGGCGAAGGAATTGTCGGAGAAATACCGACAAATATTTTGGTCGGTGAGTGGGTCTTTCTGCATGCAACTCATGCTGGAGAAATTGTTGGAAATCGACGTCATCAAAGAAATTCTCGAGAAGGCAAAAATATTTACGAGATTTATTTATGGAAACCCTAACGCGCTCAAGTATCTCAAGGAGAAAACGAACGGTCGTGATTTGTTTCAGCAGTGTTCGAAGATCAAGTCAACGCAGCCTTTCTTAACCCTCGAGAATATCGTCTTGGAGAAACAAATATTGACCAAAATGTTTCGGTCTCCCATTTTTTTGGCAGACAAGGGTTGGGACGAAGTATATGATTTGGTGAGTGATGAATCTTTTTGGAAGGGGGCATCGGATGTGCTCAAAGCAGCTATACCTCTCGTGCGGGTAATAAAATGGATGACGGGCATTAGTAATAAGGAGCATATGGGATATATATACGAAACGATGGATCAAGCGAAGAAGACTATTAAACAAGGGCTCAAAACGAATAAAGCACAATACACGAGATTCTGGAAAGTGATAGATGAGATTTGGAGTGGAGTACTATTCACCCCGATTCACGCGGCGGGTTACTATTTGAACCCCAATCTTTTCTACACAAGTGATAGGTTTATCGACCCTGAAGTTGCAACTAGTTTGTTGTGCTGTGTTGTACGGACTACCCGGGATCCGCGGGTCCAGGATCGGGTCACTATGCAGATCGAGACGTACCAGAATGCTAAGGGCGCGTTTGGCTTGGGATGCGCGGAGGACCAGAGATCAAATACTTCTCCAGGTTCGATTAATTTTGTTTTAATATATATAAATACATATATTACAATTGTTTAACTAAAAATGTCATTTCGCTTTTATTTATACCGTTTTGACTTTGAACTTTCATTCATGCATGCATATCTCTCTCACTTGACATGCACCCGACACGCACCCAACATTTTCTCGACATGCACTCAACATGCACTCGACATTCACTCAACATGCACCCAACATACACCCGGCATTCACCCGACATGCACCCGACATTCACTCGACATACACCCGACATGCAATCTCAATCTAGTTAGTTTAAGTTGGATTAGAAAGCCAACTTAAAGGGTGAAAAAAGGTCAAAATCACATTTCAAATCGAAAACGAAATCATAAAATATAAACGACATTTAGCATGGTTAATTCTTGATTTTATTTATTTATCATTTTTAATTTTAAAATTGCAGCAAAATGGTGGTTGAAATATGGGGGTGAATGTCCGGAACTACAAAAGTTGGCGCTTCGAATACTGAGCCAAACATGTGCGGGTGCATCGAAATTTCAGCTAAAGAGGGTTTCGGTGGAGAAACTTCTTGATACGAGAATAAGTCGAAGAGAAAAGAAGAGGTTAGCTCATGCTGTTTTTGTTGAATATAATATGCAACTGCAGAATTTTGAATCTGGTGAGGTGGTGTATATGGGACCCGATGAAATCGAACCGTTGGATGATTGGGTAGTTCATAAAGGACCAAATGATGGGGCCCTAAACTCGGGAGGGCCGTCGAATTTTCATCCAAAAGTGGAGCGTATAGTATGAGCTAATATAGCTTATTTTAGACGTGAAAGTGATGATTTTGTAAATTTTATAGAATATGAAATTGTATTGCACAATTTCTTGGACATGGATTTTGATTAAGTTCTTCTGGATTATTAGATATGCTATACAAATGGTGGATAATGCGATTTGAGTGGACTATTATTGTTATTCATCATTTATATGTACTTAGATGTTAAAAGTTAGGTTGGGGAAATTCGAACCAAATTTTTGAGTCCTGTCGATTTCGATATTTCCAATTTTAGGACAAAAAGTTTTCTTTCCGAATTCCGAAAGTTCCTAGGGTTGAATATTTTTTATCCAACCGATTGCCCTACCGTTCAGCATACAAATTATTTATCAAATTATTTCTACCAATGTTTATTGTGCCAAATTTTCTACAGTATATATACACATTTTAATTATTAATATATTTTGTATGGACAATGAATATAGTAGTTCAAATTTGTAAAACTTTTCAGGTATGTCAAAAATAATTTGAATGATTCCGTCAAAGATGATATAATTTATCTTAAAATTTTTTATGTTATAATTTAGTTTAAAAATATTTTATGTTAGGTATGTTAATTATTATATTCAAAAGTAACTAATACTTGGGTAACTCTGGGGCAACCTAAGTGCATCTTTATAATTATTTTTGTTTATTTTTTTCTACTATATTTGTAATAATTTATGTTTTCTTTCTTATCTCTTTTCCTCGTGAAATTTTATTTCTTGACTCAATGGAAAGGTCTTACATTTTTTTTTTGTTCCACTTTCTTTAAATGACATCTTTGTATTTATTTTTTCTCTATAAATTTTTTAAATGTTATATTTTTCTAAGAAGCACTCTTTTTTTTTTCTCTACTTGATCTATTTATTATAGGCACCAATATATATAGGTGAAACTATAAATTTGATATATATTTTACTTGTCGTATTTCAAAATGGACGAATAGGCATATAATACAAAAGGTCTCATATTTATAGAAAATTTTAAAGTAATTATTTTGTCAAAATTTTGTAGTGACTGGAGAACGAAAACAAAAAAAAAACAAAAAAATAGTAGAAAATAAGGCGGATATACTTAAATATTACAAGATATATAGATCATTATTTTACTAATGTAAAAAATATTTACAACTATTAGTTTATACTCTATACACATTTGGAATAATTTGAAATTTAAGGTTTAGAGATACACATAATTCATTTCTATTTGTAAATATACCATATTTTCTGTTATATTCAAACAGCCCGTGCATCGTAGAGGGTAAATTACTAATAACATATATTAAGAATGTTATTTTTTTGGTATATTTCGAAATGAATTTTAAACAGAAATTTTGGACGGAAACAGAAGTCGAGACAAGAATTGGATTATTTTTCCGCAAGACAAGATTGACCCGTGAACGTTCTTATGTTCTTAGCCAATTGTCGTCAAGATACAACGACTTAAGAGTTTCGAATTGTGCAGTACAACGAAAGTCGAATTACAACGAACAAAAAGTGAGCTTTGGATTCTCTATACAGGAAGAAAGAGATGAACAATATGCTTGTATGCAGAGAATGCTTAGAATTCGAAAAATGATTTTGAATTCTGCAGGGGCTCTATTAATAGAATTGAAAAACTTAAGTCCAAAAAACACAACTTAGGAAAGAAAGGGGACTGAAAAATGTATGTTATCATTTTGCAGGGACCAAGCTCCACCTGGCGTTTGCATGGACAGTCATGTCTGCAGACTAGACGATGATGTCACCTAAGGACACATGTCGCTCTCCGATTTGCTAAAAATATTAAATTTAGATTAACTAATTATGCCCTCAAAAATTAATTTATTTTGGGTTTAAACTGGGCCCAACTTGGGGCACGGGCTTGGCCCGGGCGGGCAGCGGAGGCATGTGTGGGGCTTAGCACTTAAGTTCACACTTTCTTAATTATTCTATTAGCAATCCACTGTCCACTATTTAAAGTGTTCTCATTAAGGCTATTTTTTCAATGTAGATAGTGACTTTTCACCTTCCAATTTCCCATAAATTAATCTTATTTAAGTATCTGTATGCATTAATTTTTCATCCATCCAAAATTAATTTTGAGATTAACTACATTAGATTCATCTACTCGAAACATAGATCGTGAATTTAAACTATATTTCCATTTTCTAGAAACAGAACTCACTTAAATATTTTATTAAAGTTGGGTTTGAATCCAAATTGTCCAACAAATAATATTTATCCCATAGGCCCATAAGTACTTGGATTCTGTGTATTTTAAACATGAATATGCCCCTTTTTTTCTTTTTTGTTTTGACATTAAAAAACACGCTTTTGCCTTGAATTTCTTTACAAAAATTATATAAACAATGTCACCAGTCAACGTAAATTGATAATTAACAGTACCATACCGTACCTTACCAAAAAAAAAATTGGTAAGAGAATAATGAATTTCAATGGTGTAATTGATTAGTATGATTGCCCTATCAAACCCACCCTTATGAATACTTATTATACTCCGAATTAATATTCAATTTTAATTTACAAAACCATTTTCGAAAATTTTATCTTAAAAAAAGAACACTTTGAACATCAATATTATTATGTACTTTTTTTATATTATAGGTGACAGGAAAATGGAAATTTTGATCTGGAAACTTATGATTTTGGCACTTGTTTTTATTTATAATTTCTTCTTTAGGTCGTATTTTCAAAAATTTAATTCAATTTGTTTTAAATTTCAATCCAATTCGTTGAATTTTCACTATAACAAAATGCATTTATTTTAGGGTACATAGCACTTTACCAACTGTACTTTGCTAGTTTTTGCACATAGCCACTTTAACAAAAACAAAATTACACTGGCACGCACAAACTAATTATTTCGAGACACTTAACCACCTACGTTGAATTTTCAGGCGAATATTCGAATATTCCATCGCACGTGCGAGGCACATGGCTACGTCCATGAGTTTTTTCGTCTTTTCAATTCAAACTAACTTGTAAGCCTAATTTCTATTTTTTTCATTTTTATTTCTTGTCTCTTGCACACATAAACCAACATCATCATCTTCTTCTTCCTTGATTTTCTTATCCTTTTTCCTTCATTTTCTTCTCATAATACTTGTTTCTTGTTCATTTTCATTTTCAATCTTTCTCAGTCAGTCATTTTTAACGTTTCTCTAGTTGCACATCCCAATCTCTGCTTCGTCATTTTAGAGAAAATAATTGTATTGATGATGAGTGTGAGTAATTTTCTGCTGTGAAGAAATTGTTGCTCACACCTGCAGATTAGTTCGTCTTATCTATTGCTAATCTTGTGCTATGTTCTTGCATTGCATGAGGCTTTTCTCCGGTTTTTAAGTTTTGAGTGGTTTAAAAAAAAAAATCTTGACGTTTCATATTGGGTTTAAGTTTTTGTACTCGGACGTAATTCTTTAAGGGTTGCGATTAATTTCCATGCGAAATTAGAATGAAAACAGGAGAATTGAAATGGATTTTTCTCAAAAAGTGGTCTTGGTAAAAAAAAGATCGATGTTGAAATTTTTAAATGAGGATTCATAAAATGGAAGGGGTAAAGAAATTCATCAGTCAAAACTCAAAACCATTCATGTAGTCATGTTGTGGTGAAAACTGTTGAGTGTAAATTTTACGCTCAATACGTTTACTTTACGTGGATCTTTTGTTTAGATTTAATTATATTTGTGCTTTTAATTGATTGATTTTGTGTTTTATAGGTGAAAAAGAGAATTAGGTGTCCATGAAGGAAAAAAGATCAAAAAGAAAGGAAAAAGTTGCAAATAAGGAAATAAATCGAATTGGAAGAAGGAATCCCGCCACAGCTTTGGCAGTGTCCACCATTTCAAGCATATCTCTCTCATACGAACTTCAAATCAGCTGATTTTGGCGGCATTGGAAAGCTAATTTCAAGGGCTACAACTCTTATTTACGTAACATTCCGAAATTCGGACTCCAACATGGCGAAAATTGAAGAACAAATCCTGGTGGAGAAAAGTGGCGGAAATAGATTCCTATTAGGTTTCTACTACTTCCTTATCAAGAAAAGCCTATAAAAGCAACAAGTCCCTACACCATAAGCACGAAATTATACACCACAAAAAGCGAGGAACGAAGATCAACGAAGACTCAAGCATAGTTTTTCTTATTTAATTTATTTATTTTATTTTCTTTGTCATAAGAATCACGAGTAGCTAAGTTTTTATTTCTAGGATTTTATTTGGAACCCTATGTGGGATTTATGAACCCAATTCTATGATTTTATGCAAGTTTTTATTCCGGATTATTTCTTCTACTTGTTTTATTAAGTGCATGAACTTGATCAACTTATGTGCTTTTATGTTATTGTTAATCGCATGAATCAGAAGATCGGGTTAATAATTAGAACTGTGGTAGAAGAGCCTTTGTGGTATTAACATAGGAATATAGTTAATCTCTTAGGTAGCCATTATTGAGATTTGTGCTTAATGTTGTGTTCTAGAATTAATTGCATAGGAATATAGTAATTGAATCTAGAGTATTAGAATCGTAATACACGCGGAAGCGGGTTATGATTATTTTAGCATCTCAGGTTAATAATCCGGGTTAATTGCTTGCATAATTGAAGGAATTGGGGGAATAATAATCACATAGGGGGAAGAATAAAATCCTAGGCTCGTTTACTCTGATAAATCTTCGTTTTAATTGCTTTCTTGTTTTTGCTTGCTTTTTAATTTAGTTAATTCTCTCTAAAGTCGACTGTGTAGGGTGGGCTTGATAACAATT